ATACACTTTTCAGACCCTCTTCATACCCTTTTCATTCCCTGTTCAGGCATTTGTTTCTTTCTTGTCCGTTTGCTTTGGTGATCTAGCATTCAGTGCTGTTCAAAGACTTAAAATGTCACAGCCAGAGCAAAAGCTGACAGGTCTGCCAAATGTCATGCGTCAGGAAACAGACTCGTCTTCAATCCACTCTTGTCTAGTTCGCGGTTTGCCAGTGAAAGCGCAAATCTCCCAATTGTTTGGGCTTCCTGCGAGGAATTCCACATTCCAGGCTTCACCTGGCAGACCCAAGCAATTCTGCCCATTGAACGCGAACAAGCTACTGTGGATGGATCAATTGCACAAATACCTCCATTTTGCCACCTGGCCACGCAAGCCGGAAGCGGTTCTCGTAACACCATCCAGCCAAATTGGATGTAGGTAGAGGACTCTGCCTTCACAAAGACAAATGCCTGGTCTGACTGATGATGCTGCAATGATCCTTTGCTATCTTTAAGATCAGCGACAGTCGATTCCTTAGACCTGGCATCATGATATGCTGCCATCAGCAAAAGGGCGGAAGGTAGATCTCGGATCGACTGCAGCCATCGGCGCTAGTCAACTTGGCTGCAGCAATTGCGCAAGCCACGGCCACGACTGTGATCCACTGAGATCTCCCAAAGGCTCGGCTCACTAGCTCTCCTGCTTTGCCTCCTGGTCGCGTCGTGCGTCATGAATCGAACATCGAATGCGGTCATCATACATTAACTTAGCGACATGCAAACTTGCAGTTTGATTGGACGAGCAGCTGCTATTGAATAGAAATCGCACATCACAAGGCTGAACTCGGAAAGAGCACGAAAAGCGCGCCTCGTGCGCGGGCGCGGCTGTCTGAGGCGAGGGGAGGTGTATGGCGACCATGCATCATTATAGATCAATATCCAAGCAGTATAGGTATAGTAACAACCAGGACCAGGCACGACAGGCTGTTCGCTACTTCTTGCAAGAACTCCGGCGCTCCTTCGCAAACGTGCCCTGCTTCAATGTGGTAATTGTCGTCTTCCAAATCCAAGGGCTTGCGCCCTTTGGGCCATGTCCACGTCAGCTTCGACGTCAATTCCAGGTTGCTGGCGTTTACAACCTGATGTGTCAAATAGGCGACAGGTGCCCCCACCAATTGGCTCACCAGGTGGAGCACCGCAGGTCCGGCCCACTTCCCATTGCAGCCTCAGCCGCGCACGCAAAACCAAACACCGGCATGTGCAAAAGTAGTTGAGCAAATACTACTCACTTTAAAAGCATCACTTACTCACGCAAAAGGCTACTGTCTATGAGTCTGTTTTGTTGGCCGTATGATGGGCTCATGATAAGTCCCAGTAGGTACACGCAGCACTCCTTCATATGTTTGGCAGGGTGTTGGCGCCCGTGCAGAACCTTGCAAAATGTCGATGCATCCTGTGAAGGGTTGCCTCAGCAATGACAATTGAAACCCACCCCATTTCCTAACTTCATCATTTGTGATCGATGTGAAATTCAATGATTACATGATCACTTCCTGCAGCTTGGCCCAAGTCGCTCCAAATTTCATGTTTCGGAATCTGTTGATCGTGGGGCCAGATAATGTCCAAATCCAAAGTCCACTGGAAGGGGTGGTTATGGTCGATGAGGGTCTGAATTATCGAAATAGGCTTGCCTCCGTAATTGACCAATAGTCGTGCCATTGAGCGGGAATGAATGCATAACAATTTCCAACAAAGACGAGCCGCTCGCGCACCACCCGGGGCACAGTTTCTCGCCCTTGATTTGCTCACCTCATCTTGACATGCACTGACTGAGCTTGCAATGTTTGCAACCTGTCACACTCACCTGTCATCCAGTTTGCCATGTGACCGAGTTTTCTGACTGATTGCTTGATTGCTTTTTGAACCACACTTGTTCGACCGTAACAATACTGCAATGATATAAACAAGTCAAATTTGTGGCGGGCGTGTGGAGTTAGTACTAGTAGCCAAAATCACAAAATTACGGTCCAATGTCTTCCGCCAGCCAGCCAGTCAGTCAGTCACTCCGGTTTGAAAACGATTGTGCATTGGTACCTTATTTTGAGTGATACCATTACGCACCACTGTCGCATATGGAGTCAGTTTGCCCCGCCATGCAAATAGATTTTTCTGGTTTTGGGCGATGTGCGCCAGTTCCGCTGACACGCCGCATGGTTGCAAGCCAGATGGCTCCGCCTGTTCAGCAGCTTCTTGGTGATCCCGGTCCTTTTGGTCCCGACTGTTGGCTTCTCGTCATGATCTGCCTTCACGTCAGGAGCTTTCAGATTTTGCCACCCTTCCTCCATTAGACCCATGTCGACATCCGTCACGGGCTCCCCGTCGCAGCCGTGAGATGCCATTGATGACTGCAGCAGCTGCTGTTGCAAAGAATGCGCTAGTTGGTCGCTATCTCTCAGCTGAAAGCCAGCAAGTAACAATGTAACAAATGAGACTCACACACTATCACTGTGAAAGCCCTTCAACGTAACTAGCCAATTACCACGCACACACACACACTGCGACGTGAATATGTAAGTTGGCAAATGGCAAATATGGTATTCAACGCCAAAACATGCCAGGAATGCCCGCAGCGCTTCATCAAGGCTGAGGTGATAAAACAGCAGAAACTCGGTTGGACACCAAGTCTTCAATTTCGACTTGCCTGTTGATTCATTCCCACCAACCCCAATGGCAATTAGCCACTACCAATCTCTCCTCTCATATGTCGAGGACATCTGCGATGGTTGGTGGGCATGGTCGCCTGCGCAGCTCCTTTGTCCCATCCCTGCACGCGCGCGGTCTTCAGTCTTAATAGCAATGGCCTCCAATCTAATGACAGCCTCCAATATCAGACCGCTGGTGACTGCAGCAACTTGGCGCTAGCCACTGCGCGGCTGCAACGAATGCGCTAGATGTCAGCGGAACTGTTTTGTCGCTCGTCTTCGCTGTGGTGACCGTGGTGGTGTTCGAGATCGAATCTCACGCGGTCACGGTGCCTCTGGTGTTCCAGGAGGTCGAGGCGCGTCTTGTGTTCCAGCAGGAGGTGGGGAGGTTTCCAGGGGATGGAACAGACTCTGGTGTTCCAGGAGGTCCAGGAGCCTCTGGTGTTCCAGGCATTGGCGCATCAGCTGCTTTGTCGCCGTCGTCGTCTGAGTCCCCGTACGAACAAGATTCAGGTGGCGTTTGGTATTTGGCAGTTGATAACGAAAGAATCTGACCCGCCTTTCCTCAAGCTCAGAAGGACAAATCATGCGCTCAATAGCATACCGAATCCCTTCAGTCACCCTGGACAGCCAGCGCACCTCAAATCTGTCAAAAGATCGAAGTGCCTGCAGGATTGCTGCGTATACACGGACCGTGCGCAAACCTCGGTTCTCCAGCCTGAAAACTCTTCGCCGAAGGCGGCGAACTTCCAATATCCAGTGCGTCGGTTTGTTCATGAATTGCGGATCAACAATCAGGAGGCAATGGACAGTCGGGATCTTCGGGACGGCGGAACCTATCAGGTTCAGTGGGATCCCGGATCCACTGGTCACTGGTCGCAGCGAAGTACCGGTACCGCATCACCATTGACAGCAGGTGAAACGGGCTCAGTAGACACAAATGGATTTTGAGCCAACTCTATTGTGTACTGTGTGTGCATGTGTTTGATATGAAGGATCGATTGCGCAAAGCAAAAAACTCAATGTCATGTTCTTTTAATCTGGATTCGTTGAATCTGGGAAACCAGACGCTGGTGACTGCAGCAGCTCCGCGCTAGCCACTGCACTGCTGCAAAGAATGCACTAGTCAGTCACTCTCTAAGATCCGAACACCAACAGGAAATGGCCCATTATTGCGCGTGAGACTCACATACTATTGTTTCGTATTGAATGCCAAAACATGCCAGGAATGCCTGCAGTGCTTCATCACGGCTGGGGCTGAGGGGTGGTCGGCGGGATGGGAAGATTCTTAAGACTAAACCCGCCCCCCGATCCACCTTCGTTTTTCAACGACGCAGTATAGGCCC